CGACAGCCGAGTGAACACTCAAGAAGAATTATGCTCAGTATTATTGTACTTAAAAATAATAACCTAAAATTAAATTTATTGCATGCTAATTCATTCTATGCATCCTATTTTTTATTTGGATTTGGTTGTTAATCATTTTTAAATTAATTTGCATTTCAAATGAAACAGTCTTCAAAGAGCATTCTTTTGCTCTATAATTCAAAAAAGGAAGCTTTGAATCACTCTTGTAAATCATAATTTCTTAAAATCTGTGCAGTTTCCAATCTCAGCATCCGTGATTCACTCTATGGATTAAATCTTTCACAAACTTCGATCTAATCGTCCATAATGGGCCTATCGAGCAGAAAACATCAAATAAGTCCATGATTTCAGAGTTGACAAGTCAATTGTCCTATGAAGTACCTCTGGAATTATTTTCACCATTGTTATCGTTCCTAACATACCCTAAATCTCCTAAATTTCCTATGGAATTATGTTTTAAATTCCTATACTCCTAGAAATTTCGTGAAATTCTCCTCTGAATTCCATAAGAACTGTCCGTTGAATTGCATTTGAATTATCCTCAGTGTTTCATGAAAATAGCTTCAGAATTCTCTCAGAAATTTTCTCCGAATTCTTTTGAAATTACCCTCAGACAGTCTAGTTCTTGGTAAAAATTTCTTTAAATCTTATTAAGGATTCCCTTCGAATGCTACTCAGAACCGTCTTGGGATTCTACTTAGGTTTCCTAGTATCTGGAGATCATCAGAACTACCCTAAAATCCTCTGAAGAAAGGGTGGGACTCGGACTACCGCATATTTGATTTTTAAATTTTATTAAATATCATTCCATCTCAAGTAACATTATACGTTTTATAAAATATTAAAAAGGTGCAACATTCACAAAACTCTGGTCAAGACAGCCTTTATTACATCCAGCAAAACCTCATTAAGATTAGAATCTGTCTAGTTGATCCATCCTGGAGCAGGGTGTGAAGATTATATTTTCAAGACACTTCAAGATTGATTTGCTGCAAACAAGTCATATGTCAAAAGCATTTAGAACCATTTAAAAACCATGTTTAAACAATAAAGCAATTTGCTAATGCTAATTCTAACAAAATAATAAGAGATGTGCCGAAAGCACGACCGCATTGTTGATGTAGAACTACGAGCTTATTTTTACTGCTCCATCCAATAATTTAATAGGGAAAATGGCTCTAATGTTGGCCTATGGGTCTAAGATTGGGCCCATCGCCAAAAATACGCTGTTTATCAATTTTATTTAGATGAACGCGTCATTGGGACGGTACTAATGGATATTTTGGTCGCTATTGGAAATTTAGTCGATAGCTGAATTTATGCATGGGCCCAAATTAGGGGAATTTAAGCTGACATTACATCCATTTACCCTATATTTCAATCATATATTTTTTTACGATACTTCATTTTTCATTTCATACTCATTCGTATGTAGAAATTTCAAAAAGCATAGGTTACTCACTCTCTGAGTTAGTTTCGTTTTCAGCGTGCAACGCAACGAACTCCTCTTTACAGCACACGGCAGTCAAACGGTGACTGCAGTCAAATTTGAGTGACATTGAGTATTGAGTGGTACTGGCTCGTCTTTCTGTTCTCTTGATAGTCATAACAACCGAGCACGTGATTGGTTGATTACGGTTATAAACTTTCATCAATTTTCAATATTCAACCATTCAAGAACAACATGTGAAAAGGGCATACAAGCTTTTTGTAAACAAACCTTCTTATGACACCAAAGCAAACTATCAACATCACCGGGTAGGGGAAACTTTCCTCTTCTCGATGATGTTGTTGGTTTGTGTGGGCGAACTTCGGTTGACGAGGAAATAACCTACATATGTTTGTTTACTACTAACAGTAGGTTTGTAACAGTATTGATTATCGTTTACAAAAAGCTTGTATGCCCTTTTCACATGTGGCCCTTGCATTGAAAAAGAACCATCATCCTTATACCAAACAAATCTTTAATTCAATCTTAATAAAATGGTGTAATTAAAATTGAATTTCATTCATAAATGTCCATGCTATAAGGTTGTCGTTATAGGGAGTGCGGGAAGGGGCGGGATGTTTTGATAAACTAACATTTCTCGCGTTTCGTAATATTTGAACGGGACCCAAGAGGGAAATAATATTGAAGACTCACTGAAAATCGGTCAATACCGCCGTTCGAAGCGAAAATGAGCAGAGGCACGATAGTAGCGCTGTTTTATAGCTTTTCAGGTTCAAGCAGAACGATGTGAAACCAAGTGGTAACTCGATTATGACGACTGGGTTTGGGAAAAACGTTTATTTCATGACAACAGTGATACATTGGTACATTTTAAAAAAGTTTTTTTTTATAACAAATTTGAAAGAAAATATTTCAGCAGATTTGTAGAGTTATTTCCAATCGATTGGTGTATTTGGATTTGAATTTCATTTATAAATAACAAAGTTACAAGTGTTCAAAACCTAACACTATTTCGCCACAATGTTTTTTTTTAAAGTTGCACCCCAGAATAGTTCACATAGACGTAGTTCTACATCAAAAACCCACCAATTTTAAAATATTGTATTTTGATAGCATTCCTATTTATAGCACGCTATGGTTCAACAGACATATTTTAAAAATGTCTGTATTTACACCAAAAAATTTGATTTTTTTTTTAAAGTATACCTATGGCTTGAAACGGATAATTTGATTCGAATCAAGTCCATCGGTTGTATCGTTATCGAGAAATCGTTAAAAACGTACCGTGTAAATTGAGGCTCAACAACTTGAGTGCACATATAGTTCTAGTTACACTCCCGATCATAAGTTTAAGGACACCCCCAAAAAACATGACAAATTTGTTATGTTCATATCTCTGTCATGTTACGTCCAATTTTCGTTCTCTTTAGATCATTTGAAAGGTATTGAATGGAACAAATTGTTTATTATAACTTTCAAATTTTGTGTGCTAAAAGTTCACCCAAAGTTACAATATTTTTCAAAATTTACTCTGAAGAATCGTGACTGATTTTCTCAGAACTGGGTTGGCCAAATTTTTGACAAAAAGTAGTAGTAGAGCACTTATGCTTTACCATTCATACCATTCAAATAACCTTTGGAGATCGAAAATTGAACGTAAAATGAGAGATCATTGGATTTTTTTTTTCAAATTTGATTATTCTTTGTTCTTTTTTACGTAGTATTACGTCTTTCGGCAACATATTGGGGGTGCAATTTCAAAAAGCTAAAATCGACCGCGTTACGAAAAGTGGTGAGGTTTTGACCACTTATAACTCTGTCAATAGCGGATGGATTTTAATTTTAAACAAGCGAATCAATTGGAAATTTTTCTACGAAGCTACTAAAATTTATACTTTATCAATTTTCAATGGGTCACTATTGAAAATTACACAAATATCCAACTGTTGCGATGGTGATCAAAATTATCACCGATTACCTGCAAATAGTGGTTTCCCTAACATAGTCTCCAAATATTGATACCGTGTACGTAATTCTTCGTCAAATCTACGGTCGAGTCTTGGATACAACCTCTTACTTTTTTTCGAGAAAGATTGCCACACAAATTGTGTATATTGTGAGATATACAACCATATTCTTGTTTTCGTTCAAACCACAATTTTTTTACCCGGTAACACAATCGAAATGATGATGGCATATTTCCTCTATGCTCATGATGACTTTCAATTTAGAAAAAAAGCGCGGATCCTTAGGTCTTCTTTCAGGAATTGACCATATTCCCGGTTAATCTGAATTCCCAAACTGCATCTGAATCTGAAACCAACATTTCAACATGCATCGATACGCTGTTTGCAGCCTTGGTATTTTGTTAGTTAATCTTGATTTTTGTTTTCGCAAAACGTTTCGTTGATATAAGCCACTTTTACCAATTGACGCCAGCTACATATAATTAATTTATTACATTTAATTAAAAAAAAATCTTTCTCTCTTGTTTCTAGGTACGCCATGCCAGAGAGCGCCGATACAAGTGCAGTTAGTACATGTCCCATAAAACAACTCTACTTAAAGGTGATCTTGCGCCGCTGTTCGTTGACTTTTGAGATGGTTTGGCGACGAGGGAAAAGATTGGTATGTGATCTTCACTTCTGTTGTTTGTTTTATTCACGGACCGGATCGAAAATAAATCCACCGACCGATATAAATAATACCATTCTTTTGGTACTTGCATTCACGTTTGTCACATCTTGCGCCGGTTTTTAAATAGGTAGGCATTAGGGTGGTTCAAAATATCGATTATGCTCCACCCCATTCAATCGGTTCTAGGGGAAAGACGGCTGTACTCAGAGTTATTTTTTTTTCACTGCGAGTAAATTTGAGTAGGGGAAAAGTTGGATTCGGCAATACCTTAACCTATTATCGTCAGGGGGTAAACAAAGTCCTAGAGCACTAAAATTTGGCCAATAGTTGCTCTGAAACACGATGTATCCAAAATTGCCAAAATTGAGCTCTCAAGGACGTTGTTTACCCCCTGACGATAATAGGTTAAGGTATTGCCGAAGCCAACTTTTCCCCTATCTCAAGTAGTCTCACATTCGTCAATAAATTGTAACTGAAATCAGTATAAACATATGACGGTTTTCCAGGAAAAAAATCCCGAACATGAAATAAGTAAAGATTGGATTATCTCAGTCAGCTGGTACCACTCCTGGACTGAGTAAAATGTTCGCCAATTTTCCTCATTTTCCGGAACATTTTTGAGGTTTTTCATAGGAAAACATGCGCCAAATTTACTCATAGCTGAGTTCCTGCACTTTTGCGATTATGAGTAAACTGAACTCAAATTTGGGTTGATCTCATTGGCCGTCCAGTGCAGCCTATGCGAAATAAGCTCAAATTTTGGTAGAATGATCAGCACCTGATTTAGGATTGATCGGGCAGGGTGAACCAAATCGATATGTTAAACCACCTTAGTAGGTACCTTTTGAGTGCTTGTTATGACTTCGAGCAAGCTATACTGTATATGACATACCTGCGAATGCGAGAGCAGAATCGGTTCCTTGAAATCGATCCACGTCACCACCTCGCTGCACGGCGGAGTTGTCAGCGATCCATCGTAGGTGTAGTAGTGCAGCGTATCATGGGCGATCAGATTCCTCAACGACGGTGGATTGGCGAAAGTGACCGATTTGTGAGCTTCGGTGATATTTCCCAGCAGATGAACGAATTCCTCGTACAGGGGATTGGCCACTTCCGCCAGTTCGTAGAAGAAGGCCAGCACCGTTAGACCGTCCGAGTGCTCCAACGCCGTTTTGGCATTTCGGTACTCCTGCTTGAAGAACACCACGTGCAGCTCCATGGGAAAGCTGTGCATGGAAGAGAATCTTAGATCGAACACTACCGGACTGGGAAGATATCAACTTACATGTGATTATCGATCATATCCTCGCTGCCGAACGTATCGTTGTCACCCCAGTGGAAGTGCAGCTGCGAGTATTGGTACGTTCCGTTCAGTGGGCCTCCGGCGATCGTCGGTATGTGGTCGGATTTCATGGTGACGGCCACTGCAAAATGGTCAAGAATAAACAGAAGCTCAGTTTCAATATGGTTAGCACCGTAGCACACAATCACAAACTCACTGAACAGCAAGGCACAACAACAAAATCTGAATAATGAAAATGGAAATCTACGGGTTAGCGTTGAATTGCAATATAATAAAAAAATAAAATTAACTTCATTTGAGGACGAAATTATCTACCGATCTATTATTGAACAACATCGCATATCAGTGAATTGTTATTTTTTTTTCAGGGTTGACGGAACTTGAATGCATTGTTTATGATGCATTAAAAAAAATAATAAACCGAAATTGACATGAAATCTACTACCTTTTCATTATAATACTACTACAAAAGCCAGTTACATTTACTTTACAATTCACGTAGCTTTTAAGTGCAACCTATTTGAAGATCATCGGAATGTCCGATAAAATTTACGTGAAATTTAGATTTCTAAATGAATTACATGGGACAGATTTTCATTTTCAAAACACGTAATTTTCACCTGAAAAGTACGATGGAAAATATCTACGTACCTTTTCAGGTGAATATAAGGTGAACTTTTACTGCAGTGTAGTGATCAATAATACAAAGTTTCATGGAATTCGGAGAGGGAAAATCAAAATCGATTCGTCAGTTGGCGTGGAACTGCTCCGGAAACCTTTTGAAAGCAGCAACCGTGTGCCGAAAAATGTCGCAATGTTTGTCGAACTGTTATCGATAAGTGGTGGCGGTTGGTCTATAAGGAAGGTGCCAAAATTAGCATCGCCAATCTGAAATTAAGGGAGTGAACCATGTTACACTTTTAGGTAGATGATTCAATCGTCTCGATAAATGAAATCCTGAGTTTTTTTTTTATCTCGCGAATCTTTACGAAAGAAAATCTCGTGTCTTCGTGGGCTGGATAATCGAATTAACATGTTTTGTATATTTCTTAGGTCTATAACTTTTGCTAAACATTCCAATACAATTATTAATTAACCTTCTACCTTCTATGATTATTTTCCTTTTCAGAATAGTTAGAATTTTTGATAAGCGTGTATGTTTTAATTTGAATGATTGTCCACGGCGAACATGGAAATCGATGAGCTTACAGTCTGAATTTTTTTGGTTTTTCGCAATTTGACCTGGATTTGCTCCATGCAACTCAATTTTTCACCAGTGCCAATACGTTCGAAGGCGGCACGCCCTCTGGTAGTGCCCAGAGGCCGTGTGAAGTTCGTAATTGGTTATCCTAACAATGATTCAGTGATAATTTGATTGACGAATTTTAGTTTTAGCTGGTTGCTCAAATCAAATTAAAATCGTCATCGATTATCACCCTTCATGCGTGGAAGTTTTAAGACGATAAACGGATAATAATAAATAGTTAAAGGCTGAGTACTGCGAACTAACTCAAAATGTTTGTCATCTGGGAGCCGGTCAAACTGTCAAACGGGAGCCAAACATTCAAAAGAGCTCAGAAGTCACGTAGGTAATTACTGTTTGAACCACAAGTAAAGGTGATGCCACCTACTGAAAACTAATTAAGAATTATAATTATAAAACTGTCGAAACATCAACCGTAGTAGGCGGATAATGTAAATCATCGAGCGTGATGCTTGAAAAAGTGTTTTTTTATTTGATATTCATAATGCCAAAACTGGGTTGCTGAAACAAGAATGTAATCAAACTTTATAAGAGTCATGTGAGCTTTGTGGGCAGGTGCACTCCCATCACCATGTATACACAGCAAAAAAATAATTTTGATATCACATCAAAGTGGATGCACTACAATCATGTCGAAAATTTCATGTAATTTTTATGACCACATAAATAAACAAATGCAGTAAAAGCAGCGTAATGTCAGTTCATGCATTGTATTAATGATAATTTTGTCCTTTTTAGCAAGTAATATTACACCATATTTTCGACATGATTGTAGTGCATCCACTTTGACGTGATATCAAAATTATTTTTTTGCTGTGTACGTTATTTCTGGAGCAGAGGACGAGGAGCCAAGAGTTCATTTGACAGCATGTATATACAATTTCGTGAGCTGTTTCAGCAAAACAATTTGAAACTTCGGAAGATTTTCAAGATGTTTTCTAGCTCACTTGAAAAATAAAGTCGGCTGAGCTCGCAGTACTCAGGTTAATGGGTGTTACGATCAAAATTTGGTCGACTTAAACTTGACGCATTTCTTTTAATCGAGCATTTAAAAAACATGAACACACCTTATTTTGTAGGTGAATGCGTACAGAATAATTCACTTATAAAATAAATCACATAACCAGTGGAAAATAAAGTTTCCTCGATAAAATTAACCACAAGATTGCTGTTGCCAAATTAGAGCGATTAGGCTTCCATGGTCCTCTTCTTGACTGGCTTCGTTCTTACCTCACCGGTCGTCAAATGTCAGTGAAAATAGGTGACCGTATTTCTCAGTCGTTTCCGGTTTCTTCTGGTGTATCCCAAGGTAGTCATATTGGGCCATTTGTATTTCTGCTGTATTTAACTGACATTCACTATTCAATCACGTTTCCGAAGCTATCCTATGTGGATGATTTTAAACTGTATTTTGTCGCAAAGAGTCGTAGTGATTCAGTTTTCCTTCAACAACAGCTGGACGTTTTGCTACTTGGTGTCACAAGAATAGTATGGTATTGAATGCTTTCAAATGTTCAATCATCACTTTCTGCAGAAAAAAAATCACCCACCTGCTTTACGTACAGCCTTCATGGTCAGACACTGAATCGGGAGACTACAGTCAAAGACTTAGAAGTCATGTTAGATTATCAACTAACCTTCAAGGAGCATGTGTCATTAGACTGATGCAAAATTTGAAATTTTCGCTCCACGGTGCTCAAGCTTTTCCAAATTGGATACTGATTAGCCTCCCAAAATTTTAACTAGTTTATTAAGAAACTGACTTGGCACAAACCTTACGAAGTTTTTATGGAAATTACTATGGGAAAACCAAATGTTTTGTTCATATCTCTCTAAAAATGCACAATGTCACGCTGCTTTTAAAAATAATAGCTTTGCTTGTAGAAGATTTTCTCAGCTACAACTTTGTCCAGTACCACTTTTCGATCAAATGTAAGGAACAAATGATATTCATGATTCAAGTCACCGATGTATTAAAAAAAAAAAAAATGATGTACTATGATTATGCTCAATGAACTGTTCAGCAGGCAACATTGGTCTTTCTGTAGCGTAGAATAGAGCACAAAAATCATGGCTACTATGTCACACTGCCCAATAGTGTTGAACACAAATAGCTGCTCGATCATGCCATAAGATAATACATCTCTTAAACAATTAATAAATATTTAATTTGAAGTTTGGTTGAAAAACGATCTTGTGCAAAGTTGTAGCTGAAAAAATTTCCCATAAGAATATCTATAGAACTTTTTGACAGTGCAATATGGAAAAAGGCTAGAAGGCAATGAACAAAAAATTTGGTTTTTCCATAGTAATCTCTATTTATACTTCAAATGGTTTGTGCCAAGTCAGTTTCTAACCAAATGAGCTTAAATTTTGGGAAGTTAATCAGGACCCGATTTGGAACCGATTGAGCACTGTGGAGCGAAAATTTCAAATTCTGCATCAGTCTAATGTGTCATATGTCGCCAGTAAAGCATCTTCTCAGCTTGGCTTTACACTTAGTGCTTGAAAACGCTTTATTGTTCACTAGTCCGTTCGACACTGTAATACTGTCCAGTAGTTTGGGCGCCGTTTTATAACAATACCACGATTCGAATTAAGTCTATTCAGAGGAGATTTGTTCGCTATGCTCTTCGTTGGCTACCCTGGAGAGACCCTGTAAACCTCCCTAATTATGAAAGTCGATGTAACTTGCAACTTCTCAGTGTTTGCCGTGACGTCGCTAAGGCTGTCTTCATCGTCGATCTCCTGCGTTCGGACATTGACTGTAGTCCACTTTTGCAACAGCTTAACATTAATATAAAACGAGTCAATTTGCGAACCCATTCTTTCTTTACGAAACCGACTACTCGCATAAACTATGGTGCAAACGAACCAATGACTAGCATGTGTAAAATTTTTAATAGATGTTATAACTTTTTTGACTTCAAAGCTTCCCTTGCTAGCCTCAAGTATTTATTCTATAACGTTTTATCACAAACAAACAGACATAGCACTTGCAAGCTGTTCATCGAACAAGTATTTAACGGTCAATTTAAAAGTATCGTAGTTGGTAGTACCGCCACCTGTGGCGCGCATAGTCATTTTCCTTGCGTTTGACGTTTACGCACTACCGCCATCTGTTCAGCGTACTACCCACCACAGTGTGCTCAACAGATGGCGGTAATGTTTTAGCGACGATGTTTTACAGTGAGAAAAATTCAATGTGTTTTGTTGAGGTTGAGGTTTTATCATTCTGATTAAGTAAAGATTAATGTTTCCTGAATAAGTTTAGGTATATAGGGGAAATGTCTCTAATGTTGGCCTATGGGTCTAAGATTGGGCCCATCGCTAAAAATCTGCTATTTATCAATTTTATCTAGATGAACGCGTTATTGGGACGTTACTAATGGATATTTTAGGTTGCTATTAAAAATTTAGTCGATTGCTGAACTTATGTTTATGGGCCCAAATTAGGGACACTTAGGCCGACATTACCTGCATTTCCCCTTTGTATCTGTAGGATTTTATGTTATCTGTTGATACAAAAAGAAGAGGTTTTCCGCCCACTTGAGAAGGGGCAAGGTTGGTCATTCTGAAGTTGGCATTTCCCTCTCTAATAAATAAATAACTAATAGAAACTATTTTGTGTCTCTATTCTGACATTTGCTTTACAGTTATCAATGTGGCGTCCAAGCAAGAGGAGCAACGCATCAACAAATCAAACGCAGATCGCCAATTTACACGGCAACCGGAATGGAAAAGGTGTTCGACATTTTCAACCATATGAAACTGTCAAAGTTCGCTATTTCTCAAAAAAAAAGATTTAGGGCCTTTGAAAAACTTTAAGATTCTTGGACCAGACTAGATTTTTTTTT